GCCAGCAGCTGAGGCGGGGTACCTTTCTCCCACCCATTGAGTTTTTCACTTCACGCGGGCCTACACACCCTGTCAAGTTGGTGCAGCGCCATTGGCCACTCTTAATTTCCCGCCAGCAACCAGGTCGAGGGAGCTTAGGCTTCTCCCAAGATCCCGATCATGGGTGACCACTCAGAGGCCATCCAGGAGCACCACCACCACCACCACCATCATCATCACAGCGCCGTGGCTGGCGAGATCCCCGTCCCCCACGGACCCTAGGCCGACGACTAGAGCACCACAGAAAGCAACCCTGGCTCTTATCCCGACCCCAACGCGAGCCCAGAGGAGCGCCGCATCTTCAGCCATGTCACGCGCCCGGACGACTCCTACACCCCCGAGGGTGTCTACTGGGCCGACCTCCCCCTGTCCGAGCGCCTGTCCTTTGTCTCCAAGGTTGACCGCGAGGCGGCCAAGGAGGAGCTGCAGGCCATTGGCAGCATGATGAAGAAGGACCCGCTGTCCCCCATCGGCTGGTACTTTCGCAACGCCGTCATCCCGGGCGCCGGCCTCGGCCTCGAGGGCTACGTCCTCTTCTCCATCGGCAACCTGGAGCCCCTGTTTGCGAAGGTCTGGCCCCAGTGCTGGAAGACCCACGAGGTCTGCACCAAGAACTGGACGGCCAGTGTGACGTACATGGAGATTATCGGCATCATGGTTGGCCAGGCCGGTGTTGGTGTAAGTTTTATGCTTGTTTTCCCCTGCTTGCTATCCCCGCCTTTTTCAGATCTGTCACATTTTGCTTGATTTGACGTCTTTTCTGTGTGGGTGAGGAAAAGACGAGGGGCATTTTGATGTTATTTTTCTGCCCATTGAGACGATTTACTGACCAAAATGGCGTCTAGGTTCTCGGTGACTGGGTTGGTCGTCGCTGGGGTCTTATTCAGGATGCTCTCATCATGTTTATCGGTCTGCTCATGCTCACAGCCAGTTGGGGCCTGACCCTCCAGGGCTGGGTCATTTGCTATGCTTGGTCGCTTTTTTTCTACAGCTTGGGTGTCGGAGGCGAGTATCCCATCACCGCTACCTCGTCTCTCGAGAACGCTGCCGCTTCTGGAAGACTCTCTACCAAGGAGGATCGTCTGCACCGTGGTCGCCGTGTGACCATGGCCTTCTTGATGCAAGGCTGGGGTCAGTTTGTCAACCAGGTTATCCTCCTTGTCCTCCTCGTCATCTTCAACCGCGGCGATGGCAGCCCCCCATACTCGACGTCTGCCGCCCAGTACGCGTTCCGTCTCTCCTTTGCCTTCCCCGCTATCGGAACTGCTTGGCTCGTCTACTACCGTACCTGGAAGATGCCAAACGCCTCCAAGAAGCTGGCCGAGGCCAAGAGCCGCTCTCAAGTCACTGGATATGATGTCACCGCCCTCAAGTACTGCGTGAAGCACTTCGGCGGCAGACTCTTGGCCACCTCCGGTACCTGGTTCTGCAACGACGTCTTCTTCTACGGTAACAAGCTGTTCCAGGGCCAGTTCATCAAGGTCATTTCCAACAACCCCGACTCTTTGGTCACTACCTGGTCCTGGAACCTTGTCAACATCACCGTCTCCCTGGTTGGCTACTACCTCGCCGCGCTCCTTATTGACAACAAATTCTACGGCCGCAAGATGATGCAGCAGGTTGGCTTTTTCATGTGCTTCCTCATGTTTGTCATTCCCGCCTTCCGCTACAAGTACTACACTTCCCCCGAGGGGATCCACTCTTTCCAGGCCATGTACTTCATCTCGTCTTTCTTCAACCAGGTAAGTTAATCTTTATCCCAGCTTCGTATATATTTATAAGAATCACGTGACTGATCACGTGAGATATAGCTAGGACCAAACTCGGTGACATTTTTAGTGGCAGGAGAGGTTTTCCCTACTCCTGTGCGAGCGACGGCTCATGGCTTCTCGGCTTGTATCGGCAAATCCGGTGCTCTCCTGGCATCTGTCTTGTATGCCTACATTGACGACCAGACGAAATTCTACGTAGTCCCGTGGTTCGGTCTTGCCGGCATGTTTCTCACTTGGATGTTCCTCCCAGATACCACCGGTCTGGACCTCAAGGAACAGGAGCGTCGTTGGGCTTACATTACTGCTGGAAAACCCCAGGACTACCACGGTGTTGCTGTCCACCCCCATCACCTTAGTCTCTGGGAGAGAATTATGGGTGATGCCAAGTCATATGATCCCAAGCTCGACTGGCAAGCCAAGGTTGAGGACATGCGCTCCGAGTGGGAGCGTGTCCAGGCTGAGCGCGGACCTAAGGAGGAGGGCGACGCCCACCACGGAATGCCTGAGGATGGAGAATTCACCCAAGAAATCCACGACTACTTCATGCGCTCAGCGCCGTCTCAGGGCGGAAATGGAGGTGTCTTGTCTGAAAAGACCCAGTAACCGCTAGTCTTCCCCTCTCGAGAAGGACCTCAGCGTTTCTTACCAATTTTCGCCTCTGCATATCATTTTTCTCACTACTTGTTAATATTGATTCACTTGGAGTTATGTGGGTAGCATTTACTAGCACGATTTTCCACTCAAAAAGCTGTTGAGCGTACATAGTCATACAAATCATATGCAGTCACGGGCTGTACTGCAAAATATTACTATATTGTGTCGTATTTTCCTTTCGTGTTTGGAGTTCAATGCCATGGATATGGTTCGCGCAAGTCTGGAAACTAGTCTCTACTTGTAAATAATGTGATACCTGAGAGTCATCAAGGCGGTATTGTGAATCTCGACCATGATCCGAATTGAATGTTCGCAATGCTCGTCTGGTTCTCTTCTGGGTTATTCCTTCTTCCCCACCGTCATCTCATGCTATGTATTGTCTAGAGCAAACCAGACATGCCAGTCTTCTGCGCGTTGGCACCTCAAACCCAAGCGACGCTTCCAGACACTAGAGAAACGGATGTCTGCACGGCACGCCTATGACACTTCTCTCTCTCTACACTAGGTAGCTAAGAATATAGCGTGCATCATGCATGTGCGCTGTCATGTATAGACATACCCAATCGAAAACGCGCCATGCTGTCGGCATCTCTTCAGTCGGTGACTTCCTTCCTTTTTGGGACTCTCGGCCACTCTCAATTTTTGTTCCGATGCCTGTGATCCAGTTAGTTCTCATCTCCTAGAATAATTCCCTTTGAATGCGCATTGGCTATAGAAGTTAGACCTTTCGTGGATGATCCATGCCGGAGAGGAATGGGTGGCACATCGGGGGGAGGCAAGATTGCGCGGCACTGAAACGTCTTGATCAATGACTTAGGGGGCTTGGTTTCCAGATGGATAGTTAGCTGCGATCAACATGGATGGACCACGACGAAGTATCCAAGTTCAATTTAGTGTGTAGAGGGACAAGCGACTGACATAAAACATGGCTCACCTAGAACCTCGAGCGCTGAATTTCAACACAATATCAAAACAATTAACCCAATAATGAAAACAATATTGAGCTAAATGTCATAGAATAATTTATGATGGACTAATTCTTGATAAGAAAACGAGGTCTATGATTCTTGCGCGATGCGTCATCTCTAGATGCCTTCCCTGTAAGACCGTCCTGCCCCTTTTCAGTCCCTCTGAAGGTCCCAATAGCTGGAGTTGTTGATAAGCGAAAAGAAATCAATGAAGACATCCCTGTCTGCCGAGAGTATGGCGTATGTATCAGGCTCCCACGTTTCTTTGTATTGACACATTCCATTCCCGGTAGAGACGATCCTAGTTAGAGACGATCCTTGTGATGTAGAATTTCAATATTTCTTTTGCCTTTCTCGGTTGGGTCAAGCCCAAACTCTTCACATAGCTCGTCAACTTCGTCAGCCGAGACCCGTTCCCTTTTGAAGCTCTCGTCGCAGTAAGCGAGTACATGGGTGTCTCCAAGCAAAGGGTGCAAGAGCGCCAGTCGCATGTTCCAAGTGTCAACAACTGAGACTACAATGTAGAGATCTCTCACTCCATTTTGAAGGGAAGTGAGTATGGCCCAGGGCCCTCCATGCAGCATCGTAATTGTTGCCACCAAGAGATGGGAGATGGGCAAGCTCTCTCTCACTTCCTCTCTGTATGTCATGTGTATTAGGTATGGCGAGAAGAACTGCACTTTGAGCCGCCGTTCTGAGTATTGATTTGCTGATGGCAGAAGAAGCAGGCGTCTTGAGCTTCAGTGTAGCGTCTGATGCTACGGAGCAGAAGACTGGCATATCTGGTCGGCTCCAAACAAGAGCATGGGAGGGCCCTTTCCTCATGGTTGAGAGCAAATTTTCCCAACTGGTCTCCTTGACAGCGCCAATACGAAGAGCTCAAATTATTAGCAGGGAGATAGGGCAACACGCGTTGAACTTGCTGTCGTGGACTTGGCCGAGTTCGATTGTCTTCTGAGTTTTTGGTACCCCCCCTGTTGTAGATAATATAGGTCAGCAGAATGTCCAACACCGGTGGGGATAGGCATAGGTGTCGATCAAGTAGCTTGCTTACCCAGTTCCCTTGCAGTTGCGCAACTTAATAGTAGTCCACAGACTTTCTTTGTCTTCCACCATATCAAGGACAATTCATACATCTTCGTATCGAAGGCACTTTTCATCATCCCAAGCAGACAAAAATTGCTGCATTGGACAGAGAGTGCTGACTGCGCTGTTAGGTAGAGAACACTATGTATGAAAATGTCCTAGTTTAGCGTCCTCTCTCCTAGAGACTTTTGAAGAGTTGTAGTGTTCATACGATGAATATCGTGACTTGTAATGAGTAGCGGTTTATCTCGTTCGGACTTGCGTACTAAGCTGCGCTCGTCAAGCAAGAGTTAGATTATGGAATCTAAGTCAGTCTCAGATCACCACCAGCCTGCCAGGGAAGAAAAAAGAGGGTCTTCTCAACATACTGATTTTCAACTTACTTCCTTCTGAGAGAATAAAGGCTTCAAATTTGAATTTGCAGTGCGTAATAATGCATTCCACTCTATGCTCAAGAGTCCCCTTGGTTGGCGGATTATGTTCACCTGATCCACGCCCTCGAATATGCCGGAGCGACGTAGATCAATTGCACACTCTCGTTTACAGTTGGGACTGAATCTGGACTAAAGAATGTCAAAGATAGTCATTCCAAGTATATTATTTAGGAAACTTGCAGAACTGCTGTGCGAAATGTCTCAAATCGATCAACCCACAGATCGTGGTTTTTCTGCTGGCTGCGGAACGTTGCACGAAAGGTCAGGGCAATCAAAGATTGCTTGGCGAGGAGCCGTTCCCTATCAGCAGATGCAATGATTGATTGTGCAGCTTCTCCAGGTAGAGCACCTCGGGAACCATCCTTTCGAGGCTCCTTTGACCAAACCTCTGCACCAGAGGCCGAGTTTGCCTCTTCCTCTGAATCAGGGAGGAACTCTGAGTTGAACTTCTCATACTCAGACATCTGAGACTCGTCGTCAGGTATGTAATCGCCTGAGTCATTCATGATGGGCACGCTTGAGCTTCAGGAGTACAACAGGATAAGACGATGAGAGAAGCGATCGCTGAATGGTGATGGCTGAAGTGGACGCTGAGGATAATATACGAGAGATGTGACCACTAAAGGACAAGGGTAAGGACAGACGCTGAAGGACGGTGATAGACACGATAATTGAAGGGCAATAACAGAAGCGTCCCCCGAGGATAATGCACGAGAGACTGATGATAGACGCGATAAATGGCGAATAATTGTAGAAGCGGACGCTGAGGAGAAAGGCGGACACTGAGGACGAAGAAGAAAAGAGGGGGGGGGGGAAAGAGAAGCGCTTCTGGAGTTGAGTACTTATAGCCCATATTGGCGTGGAAGGAGCAGCCAGTCACCACATCTCTGGAAGTAGAGTTGCCATGGAAGGCAAGAGTGTGCCTGAGAGAAAACCCGGGTTCTGCATCTCTGTGGAAGTAAAAGTGTCATGGAAGGCAAAAGCACACCAGAGAGGAGGACCAGATACCGAATATTGGTGATGAGAGCAGATGATAGAACAAAGTGGCAGGTACCAGGCCAGGCAAAACATACTGAACAGAACAGCCAGATAGAGACGGTACTTTGCATTTATTGTCGTGTCATCCTTCGGGTACTTAGGCAAGACACAGGAATAGCGTGATAAAAGTTTTCTTTTAAGATCTAAGGCAGTTTGAGGCTTAACGTGGAGGCTTCATCTCAGGTCCAGCTCAACTGAGTCTGCGCTGTACAGCTTAGACTCGTCATCTCATACCTCTTTTCGTTGTCTGCAAATGCAACCGTAGCGCTTTAGTTCTGCCGACATGTATATTCCCTTTAATATCTTAGCCTTGAGAATATCGGGGATTTTAACAGATTGGCGACACTGCGGAAGCAAATTCGCCAAATTCTCCGTATATGCCCGGCTCAACCTCGCCGATCACGTCAGAACATGAACACAAGTGAAGCCAGAAATCGGATATGAGAATCCGGTGCATTAAGCTCTGTTGAGGTCAGCTGGAAACTCTTCATCCAGAGAGAAGCTGAAATCAACCATGCCTGGCAGAACATGGGAGACAGAGCGGATGCTTCACTAACAATAGAACGCACACTTGCTAAAGAATAACTTAGACAATTAACGGACAATGAGTGAATAGTTATGCTATTGACTCTGGAATTGAACTTTTAAGCAGACAGTTAGGCTTATAATTCATGATTGAAACGACTAAGAGCGGGCTCAGATCTAGTTCGGGTACCATACAACAGGGAAGCGCCAACTGATAAAAAAAAAATGAGGTTCAAAATTCACAGATGTTCACATTCATCTTAGTCACAAACTTGTAATTAACTCTTTGGTGTGTGTATCTTTACATTAAGGCCTCTCCATTATGAGATCATGTTGTCCAAAGCCTATCTAGATTTGATGAATTCCAACCTTTACACAAGAGGGTGATACGTAACCCATGAGCCAAGAAACGGAAAGGGGCCATCCACTGACAGCTCCTTCTGTATAGGACTGATGCCCGAAAGCTATGGATTATCCACGAAGACTATGGACATTAGAAGCACTGGGACTTAGGAAAAAGAAGAAGGACCTGTTGTATGCTGAGAGCTAATTAGGCTGGCTGCATTTTCCATAGACTTTCTCTGACTGAAGCTTCGGGGTCTTCGCGGTTTTCGCTTCATAACTGATCAAATGCTCGTGAAACCAGCCTCTCGCAATATAGTACATACTTTGAAGGCATGATGTAGTTATTGAGAAACAATGTATAGAACGATCTCAAGACAAAACAATCTTCTCCACAATCGGCTCCTCGTCTATGCCGTCGTTTCCGTCACTGCCAGGCGTGCCGCGTGAGCCGGGTGAGCCGGGTGTGCCGTTTACTCCGAATTGCTTCAATCTAGCAAACCAGATTTCTCAACGAATCTATTTATGAAGAGACTCCACGTGGGGTGGTAACAAACGCTGAGGCAACAGCGGGCGAAGTCTGTTCGCAGCCGCTTCGGCATATATCAATACGTGGCGAGAATAACCCAAGAAGTTGATCTGTGGAAAACTAGCAAGGGTCAACAACATGCCGTGTATCCTGCCATGCTGATCCCAATCTGAAGGTTGGATCTTGGTACGAACTCTGAACTCCTGTACATTTCAAGGTCATTGGACACTTCCAACCCTTAGCGAGACATCTTTTTTGGGAGCAGTCTACATGATTTCAGAGTGTTGCCGAGGTTCTGAGATGGGCACCTGGTACTCCAGGATGAAGAGATCTGCAACTGTTTCCCAAAGTTCGTCGTACAGCGTATTACCTATCATCTCAGAGAGACGGGAGATTAACAGCCCCTGGTCTCAAGGGGTTGATTCTCCACATATAGCCAACGTTGGACAAAAACCCACAGGACAAGGGAAACCACGTTCAAAAATAAAGCACCAAAAATCAAAAAGAGGAAAAAAAACATACAACAGCAGGTATTCGCTGGTCGTCACCGACCCAACTACTAATCCACCCCTCATCCGTTTAACTAGGCGAGAGCGGACGGGATCGCGTGTTCTCGAATGGGTATGGTCGTATGTGGTGGATGAAGCTATCGAGAGGGCTATATGCCCTACCACCACAACAGCAAACAAAGAGCAAAACAACAACAACAATAGCGGGTGTTCATTGGTCATCCCCGATCCAACTACTGTCTACGCCTCAGTTACCTGATTAATATAAGAGTGGACATCAAATAGCTCCATCCTTGCCCTTCGGGATTTTAATCTACTGAAGCTTACCTTCCGTGCAATCCCTTGATGTTCACCGTAGCCCCACAATATTTACGAAACCCCCAGCCTTCATACCTCAGCCTACATACATCACCTTCATCAACTATTTCATTCTTTTATCAACATGGCACGCACAGATCGAACCTACGAGTTCGAAGATGAAGTTTGCGAAGCTCTAAAACAGAGCTTCACCATCCGACTTCTGGTGAGATCAACAGGACACTTTGAGTCTCGTCATCCAGGGCCGATCAAAGAGTGGGCAGCAGTTGGAGCACAGAAGATCAGCCGAGCTCTTCTCAAACAAATCGGGGATGAAGATGCAGCCTTCGACATCCAGGTCCTTATGATCGAGTTACTTGATACGAAAACCCGCATTCTATTCTGCTTTGACCTCTTTCTGAAGGAATGCGATGAGGCAGCTAAGCTGAGAATCAGCAATACTTCCCAAATGCCCACCTACTACATGTACATCAAAGGGCCGCGTTGCTTGGCTCGGAAGCATGAGAAGTCGTCGGATTTAGTCGCGCAAAGGCTTCAAGGTTACTTGGAACGGGTCAAAGACCCGATGCCTTATTTCAACGATCTGGAAAACCCTTCGTTTTTAATTAATGGGATCCGGCAAGAATCTCGAGATACAACAGAAGCGAGTACTGAGAACAGTTCAGCTTTAGATGGCGAAGATGAGGAAAAAGAAAAGGATTCAGGAGGGGCTTGATCAATGCTATATTCTCCTTCCCCCCACGATACCCTTCAACCCGTATCTTATTGAATCCTCCAAACTCCATTTTAACCACGGGTCAATTTATTGCTCTGATTCACCAGGTATATCACAATATAGCTCTACCTTAGCCCATAATTGACGCTCCATGTGATCCTTGAGCCACTGGGCATGTTCTGGGTGCTCCCTTAGGAACTTGATATCCTCGTCAAAAATAGGTATGCCAAGAAGGAGCTTTGACATTAGAAGCCGGCGATGGGTTACCAATTCGCATTCTCCATCTGGCCTTTTCGGCCGACGGAACTTCCTCCCCTCCCATGTAAATGGCCACTTCCTTAGTTTTCGCTGTATTTTGGAAGGAAGTTCTTGGTTGATGCGGACACTGGAGGCTTTATCAGCTTAAGCCAGGCGCAAGTGTAAATAAACTATGATATATATGACTTACAGAGACTCTCCTGTCCACTTATACCATAGCACCGGCACCTTTTCCTCCTCAATGGTGTGATCGTAGCCATGGTGATCAACCAGGAAAAAGCATTCGACGTTATCGAGACCAAAGAAATCATGATAGTTTTGTACAGGGCCTTCAACGCCATAATAGCAAAAGGATTGTATTCTTCTTTAAAGGTTCTATAGAAGTAGTGGTTGGATAACACTTTAATGATGATTCCCCAAGCTTCAATGGGAGAATAGGTACCCGTTCCGTGGATGAAGTATTTGTCGTCGGGATGGGTGCATCATAGCCGCTGACCGCTTCAACAATACGGAGTGCCGGGTATGGAAACCTGTAGTCGTCTTTCATTGTGGTTATGTTGTCCGCATCTTTCTCCCTAAAGCTTTCAAGCATGGTTGGGAAAAGACAGTCCATAATCATAAGATTGGCTTTGTTGTTGACATTGGTGCGTCGGGTGATATGGTGTTGTGTCGGGTTCCCGACTTGATGGAAAACCCAATCCTTCAAGTCTGTTGCAGCCCTCTCCTGGTCTTTTTGTAATATCTGATGGTATCTCTCAGGTACTGTTGCATTTCAATAGACCACTTCTTTTTGACGATAAGAGGGTCCACGACTGCAATAAGTTCCATGGCATAATACAGATGGTTTGAATCTTGTGCGGGTTCGACATCCCAGAGCAGTTTGTCAAAGAAGCTGGTGGGCCTGGGAATTTCTAGATCATTTGCCTTTATTTTCCCAGGGCTTCATTTATTCTCATTTGAAGAAGCCAGAGTTGCCTGCTTCCATGTCGTCCGATCTGATGCGAGACAGGAAGTTCGCCGACTGGACTCGATCGTTTCTGACGCTAGGCGTGCAAAACATGAAGCCCGAAGAGACAAACCGCCAATGTACACTTTACGCTTCTGTGGAAGCCGATATACTCATCCCTTTGTTTGATCTTTCTCACCAGGCGTCCAGAATGGTACTGTAAGAATCAGGTGAGATGCACTGTGTATATTCAAGCCAGTGCCTCCAACACCAGAGCTCGCAAGTAAGGCTCTGGTTTGGCCATCCGCTTTATTGAAGTTTGAAATTATCTTCGCTCGCTCGTCAACACTCAAGGTTCCATTATATTCTGAAACCTTGATCTGGAATGTACTTTCCTTCTGGGATAGGCGTCTGATTGATTCCAGTATAACATCGAGGAAGAGAACGGATGTTGATATAACAACTATTCCCTCTCCAGGGAAATCTGTAGCAATATTTCGCATGATATTTGTAATTACCTTTACACGAGGTGAGAAGATTTCGTCGTCTGAGAATGCCTGGAGCTTATTCTTCCATTGCTTCGTAAACACAGCGTTTGCTCGAGTCTTCCGGCATTCATAATACACCCTTCTCTTATCGTTTCCATCGATAGATTCTTCAACACGCCCACAAAGGTGATGGTGCCGTCTGCCAGGTTGATGCGGGAGCTCGGCCCCCACCGAATGCAGAGTTGCTCCATGACCGGCGTGATGAAGTTGATGCCAAAGGATGTAGGACAGCAGATCCCGGGGACTGGAGTAGAGTGGAGTGGCCGAAATTGGAAGGAAGTAATAGCAATCGAACAGCCGGAGCCCGTGGTTGTAGGAGCTCTCCACATTCCGGATGTTGTGACATTCATCCAGCACCAGGGTCGAGAACGTGAAGTCTTCATCAACCAGTTCAACATCCTCCTTTCCAGGATCATATGTTTTATCGTTTTCATTATCCGTAAAAATGAATCCTTCCTCGTGGCTCCCCCAGGTCTGATGATTGGAGAGTCTTCATTGGGCCTTGAGAAACAACTAGACCATATTAAACAGTTTTCATCTGTCAGGTTCAAGTTGACCAAATTGTCGTTATTAGAGCCATCAGCCGTCAGAACGGCTGCTTCTAGGCTATAGCAATGCCAATGTGATACGGCTATCTTGAAGGTGGCTTCGGTTCTATCTGGGCCCAATCGGGCAAGCTGGTCGCGCCATTCTTTCCATGCCTTGATAGCTTCTTGGCCAATCAGGTCATCTCTGGCTTCGTCGTGATGCTTCTAGAGTGGTTTCCACATGGAGAGCCTCTCCCTGGTGCAGCCGACATGCACCAATTGTAGCTTAAGTATTCCCAGCTGGCTTTTCAACTGGGCGGTTGAGTATCTTTTCTGCCTCAAGAGAAATCGCTTTCCTCCCGAGTGAAACCGAACGTTGTTATTTCTGCAAAATAGAAGTGATTGAGCGGAAAAGTCTTAGCCTCAGCCTCAGGCATGAGCTCCTATGACAGCCAAGGTCTCCTCATCAACACCATCGCCGTTGTAGCAGGTGTCTCTATCTTCTAAGGGTAGGGGCCTTTCGAGGTCATCCATTGGTCGAGTGCCGCCGCGAGAAAATGCTCGAAACTCGTCGAATATATCCCGTGGCAGATCACTATACTGGTTTGCAAATCCAGGGCCTTTGACTGACGGTACATGCGGCATACTGCTGTGCCTTGGTCAAATGCCCAAATGCCTGCTTCTTGAGCAGCTCTCGTCGCGAGTGATACCTGGGGTGGGCGGCTTTTCTCAACAGCCTCCCTCCACTCTGTACCTCATGATGAATGAGAAAGAGTGTAAACCATGCGCTGATGAAATCGACAGCTACTTGGTGCATCGTTATGTCAGGCATTGTAATTTCTGTCAAAGGCCTTGCTACCACCACGCCGACAAGAAGTCTCTTCACGAAGAGCCATAATGCTGAACGTACCATTGTCTGTTTCATAGCCATCGTCCCAAGGAGAGTTGTCGGCTGGTCATGAAGAGACTTGCGGGAGACTGTGGATCATTCATGGTGTCCCCGGCGCGGAATGTTCTGCCTCAGGGAAATAGGGCAGCTCGTTGGCTATCGACCACTTGAGATATTTAAATGACCTCAGAAGACGCTTGGCCTCTTCTGGGTAGATTTGGGAATCGAGAGTTCCACATCCCTTGTCGAAGGCGGTACGTAGCTTCTGCAGATCAGCGTGTGCTTTCCAACAGAGCATCAACTGCTATAGCGCTTTGGAACCAACATAGTCATGCGCTGCTTCGATGTGGTTTGGGAAACACTGATTGAGGATCGAAGCCCTGACTCAAATTACTGTGTCAATCCGTATTTCACCAACGGCAGACTGTCTAACCGTAGCCTCTGTGCATTGTTCGCCGGCTATGTCCTGGGTGACTTGGGGACGGAATGGTCAATGTCCTCCAACTTGATGTCTTATTGCATGTCGTCACAGGTAAGTTCAATGAAATTGTCCGGCTGGATGATAGGGACTCTGGTTCTGACCAGGGTCACTTTGTTGTCCGGAAGTCCTTCCATCGCTGCGTACAGTGTAGTCGGCAAGTGTTCAATGATCTTTAGCTCCTTGTAGTTCTTGGTGACCACATCGTTCTTTGCTCTGATGTGGCAACAAGTTACCAGGTAGATCCAGCTGATGGATCATAGGTGTGACGGACCGTACTTGTTCACGTTTCCCACCATTTTGCGTGTCGAGAATGGTCTTGGGCGCAGCTTAGCCTTGCACTCGTTGAAATAGGAAAGCTGTAATTTGCCCGGCGCGGTATAGCCTGTCCAGAAGACTCAAAGCACGCTGCTTGGAGTAGCGGGAGCCGATCTCTTTGTTGTTTGAGAGTTTGTCCAGAGGTCCGGGTTGCATAGGGTCCCCAATGAAAATGGCTGGTGTTTCCGGGAAATGCGAAAACAATACAAGCGCCATGCATTCCGTCATATGCGCGGCCTCATCGACCACATACATACGTGGAGGGGTTTTGAGATGATTGGCAATATCATCAAGCATGGCCTGCATCGTGACATTTAGGACACCAAGTGGAAAAGCTTTGCGTGGCAGGTAGATATGGATGCTAAGAAGCCTAATGAATGGTTGATGAGGAAAGATTGAAATTGTGCGGGCTGGGAGTTGATGAGTATTTATAGATCGATTATTGTGTTTTCATTGATGATTATTGTGTTTCAACTCACTGCTTGATGATTGTGTTTTGATTAATGATTGTTATGTTTCAACTACCTCAGTGCTTGATTATTGTGTGTTGATTGATGATTATTATGTTTGGTTGGTGACAATGGATGAATTGGACGAGAAAGCGGCAACGTGACATGACGAGCTCCAGTTCTCACGACAATCAACCCCAAGCGATACGCAACAAAGTCAAACGCAACTTCTCCTGCATCGTATTCGTTTCCAGCTCCGGCAGCGAGAGCGAGTTGGCGACTTTGCGGTCACTCGCCCAGGAACGCCAAAATGGAAGAAGTTCCTAGACGGTACAAAAGCTGCTGACAACAAACTAGACGTCCCGACATTATGTCCAGTATTCTCCATTGCACGTATATCTCTTTGCATGCATCATGCATGACGCAGGCTGGCCACGCTTTTGATGCCGGCCTGGTATGGTACCACTTACACCTACATGGATCATCCATGAAAGCTACTCTCACAATAGGCAGCTTTGCCTCCCCTGGTGCCTTTTAGGTTTCAGATGGCACATCTTGTTTCTCCTTTTTAGGCATCGCCTGGGAAGATGAAGCATCTTCCTTGGAGGCAGTCTCAGCTACTGTGGAAGACGTCTTTTGCGCATATACGTTAGTAATGGAGAATACCGAAGGTTCATGGCGGCACTCACGCTTGTTCTCTTCCCTTATTCAAGGATTGATCCTCCGCTGATTGCCTGATCTCTTGTTCACGCTTCTCGATCGCCTTGTTTCTCATGTAATAGTAGAATATTTCTGGTTCGTCCATACTCTTAAAGCCGAAGTGCTTCCAGAGTGCAGTTATACGTGCAAGAAGGTACCTACCACTACTGAAACGGTAGGCACCCCCCAAACTCCAACCCAACCCTAACTCCTATAAAACCCCATCCCCTCCTCATATTTCCATCCGAATTTCCTCAGCTTCTCACCGATCCACCAACCCGGCGTCAAAGCAGCAAAGCAGAAAGTTCCCCCGTCTACAGCGCCAACAACCGTACATCTACGCACACCTGTTAAAATTTCAGGCTTCATGATGGATAGCTTTGAGAGACTCTTACGTAAAAGAGACAAAGCACACGCGGCGCCTGCGTTCGCGAATTAAGTGATACACTTGAGAGAAAGCGAGATGACCCTAACAGTCTATTCTCACCACGCTCGAAAAGCCATCTTCTGAAATTTCGCTTTATTTCAGAATCTTCAGTCAACGCCCAGTTATGAGGCTCGATGTGACGAAGAGCTTCATCGTTGGAGAGAAAATGAGAGCTCAAAGATTGTTTCCCTCCAGCCAGCAGCTGGTAGTAATCGCATGGATAAAGCTATGCTGGTGATAGCTTGAGGACCCTCTCCACTTACACTTGTGGGTATCTTCACGCTCAACTTCTGGTATCTTTCTGCAGCCAT